GGTTAAACGTGTACGTTGGTTCTGGAAGGCTCGGTTAAACGTGTACGTTGGTTCTGGAAGGCTCGGTTAAACGTGTACGTTGGTTCTGGAAGGCTCGGTTAAACGTGTACAATAAATCTGGAAGGCTCGGTTAAACGTGTACATTGGATCTAAAAGGCTCGGTTAAACGTGTACAATAAATCTGGAAGGCTCGGTTAAACGTGTACATTGGATCTAAAAGGCTCGGTTAAACGTGTACGTTGGTTCTGGAAGGCTCGGTTGAACACCTAATGAATCTGGATGAACAATGTAAAAGAAGCGGGAATGCAACGTTGAATGCAATATATGAAAACAATATTGGTTAAACACATGTAATGAACTACAAGTTCATGACTGTAAACTATGAATGCTAAGTAGCAGGGAATCGATTTCTAGTTTGAGCACGTCCAGCAAAAGAAGGAAATGCTAAGTTGAGCACGTGTGTGGTGTACTGCATTATTATACATCAAAGTGCATTCTGAGAGTATACAACTAAATTAAGAATGGTTATCCCACTTGGTGAATTATATCATTAGTTGATTGATATCCAGACTTGATTAAATCGCTACTGTTGCTCAGTGAGGCGTCAGCACTTAATAAATTAATAATACTAGCTCAATTAGTGAGACTTCCTTGTGGACTCTCCACCTGTTTTGTTCACGTGAAATTCTAGCAGGTATTGCAGACGTTCACTTGGCTGCGTCGCGTGAGATTATTATGTTCCGTACTTCAGATCTTGGGCTGACTAAGCAGATTGTAGAAGGCGTATTTGTTTTTAACTATCTATTTAAGACGTTTTGTGGACTGCCCCGTAAGTCTGTCATGTGATTCCGTTTAAATGTTGTCTCTCCATACTTTTTTATGTAATTTAATATCAGTAGTTGGAAACCTCCTGACACCAGGCCGACAAAAAAGAATTTTTTTTAATGTAAATACTTGTTTGACAAGGTATAAACGTATGTTAAATGTTAATATAACATCTATTGATCAGTTTGCAAAGGAGTCCGCCATGTTTAGCAGCCATTTTTTAAAGCAAGTTGTAGGTAATTCCAAATCACTTGCTTCATCGTATTCACTGTTCGATCCAACACCACGAGGACTGGGCATGACTTGCTGAACTGCGGATCGTGATGGCCTCGAGTCGAGCTGAAATACGCCATTGAACGTGTTCCAAAGTTTTTGCTGTGGGACTGTTTTAACTGTAACAGTCAATCTTTTTAATCAAATAAGAGTAGGTGGTAGATAATACTGACTAGTTGCCCTACTGCTGTTCAGCAGTTCTATATTGGGGATGGCTAGATATCTGAACCTAAAGGGTCTGTGTTCTAGTCTTTTAATCCGTATGTCACAAGGTGCTGTCCATGTTGGAAATACCAAATAGGGTTTGTATCATAGTAGGCCTACCTGACTGCTGGTGGGTCCAGGGTTTTCGGAAGGAGGAGGCTTAACATAGTGTGCTATGGAATAAAGCTCTCCACTTTGAATGACAAGAGATTATGGAACAGACAACCTTAGCTTTTGTTTGTTTGGCGAGGGATGTGTGTGTGTGTGTGTGTGTTTTTTTTTGGGGGGGAGGTACCAACTACACCGTATGCTGGACTCGCCAGTGTTGACTTTTGTGTATATGTTTGTCTGTTTTTGATTTAGCACTTGGTGTATTGTTTAATGTCAATTTTGACTGCTTTTAGAAGTGCCCTTGGTTTCGTATCAGTGACGTCTTCTGAAGGTCACCTCCACGCATTTTGCCAAAACACTTTTGTCTAACATTTACTGTCACCGAAAAAAAAGTAAATGTTTTTATTTAAAACATATCACAATTTAAATGAGAAATGATTAAGTATCCAGTTTAGTTATGTACATTATTGAATATTCAATAAAGATTTTAGTCACCAGAATATTTTATAGTTCTTTACCTAATTCACTGAATAGTAAACTAAATTTATTTGATTTGGGGACGATTTTATTTCGTGAATATAATATAAAAACAACTCGTGCTTACAAACAAAGCAACTCAATAAAAACCACTGTATATTTGCTGAAAAGTACAAACAAAAAATTATCAAAGAACCAAACATCAAGTTACCTTTATTAGGCCTAAAGCAATCTCCAGTCATGTGACTTTTTTCTTTCAAACCATTGTATGTCAATCGCCTGAAGATGGCAGGTCAACTTGGTGATACTTGTTGTGTCACTAAGCGCTGTAGAGCCTAGTATGTAGGGATGGACCGAGAAAAAATAGTTGCTGTATTCAATCTATAACTCTATGATGCTTACAAATAACTTCTAAAGTTGAATTATAGTTTTATTTGAGCACTTAATCGCCATTATCGAGTGTTTCACATTTTATATAACAGCAATATTATCCTGTTCTTCTACCACACATATATTTGTGGGGAAGTAATGAAAAGGAAAACTATCACGTAGCAGTGAGTTCAGTTTATGAGCATATATTATTTCCGTGTTCCAAAAATAACAGTTTCATTTCTGCTCGCTAGACGGCAGCACAAATTGTTCTTGTATAACGACCATTTGTGACTTTTCATAGCATACACATGATATCTTCCAAAAACGATTTAACTAAAAAAGAAACATCTAAATTAATATTCCAGGTATCAAGGAGATCATGTATTTATACAGTTGACAGGTTTGTGTACGTGTTATTGATGTCAAAGTTTTAAAAAACCAGTTTCTTGATTATCAAAACAATACATTATATAGCATTCCACCCGTCTTCAAGTTTTCAGTGGGGCTGAGCCTGGTAGCTGTGTGTATATGTGTGGTATCATACTTCATGGCTTATTAGTCAACATGATTTTATCATGTGGTCGAGTTGATTGTATTCACATGCAGTGAGTTGGGATGAAGTTGGAAGGAATGGGTTCTGTAAATATCCCCTTAATGTTGGTCCAGTGCTCTGGGGTACTTGTATCATCCTGGAGGAACCATTCCAACTTCATTGGCCCCAAACATAATACCAAATTAAAGAAACTGACAAACCTGATATAATATTAACAATATATATTACCATTGAATTATAGAAATAAAACAAATTTTTATTTATCAACCTGGCCCGGCATGGCCAGGTGGTTAGAGCGCTCGACTCGCAATCTGCGGGTCGCGGGTTCGAATCCCTATCGTACCAAACATGCTTGCCCTTTTAACCGTGGGGGTGTTATAATGTGGCGGTCAATCCTACTATTCGAATTCGGTGACTAGGAACCCACTTTGAGACTAATAATGACTGGAGACGGCTTGAATGGGTAATGAAGAAAAACTTTAATATAAGTTTAACATAACCGCAAATGTACAACGTTTCGACAAGGTTTTTGTCATCATCAGGTACCTGACTTTAATATCACAACTAATGGAAACGGTTATTTGAATGCTTGGGTTAATACGTGCGTATCACAATGTAGATACCCTGACGTAAGTCACTTAGTAACTTTACTTGGTTGATGGAGACAGTGTTTTGACATTTTAATCTCTACAAAGTAGGTATTCTCTGTTACTTCATTTGGTTGAAATTAACATCAGTTAATAAAAATATTTCTATCTTGTTTGATGTAGTGAATCAAGGTAAAACAAATGGAAAAATTTAGTGACTCGGAAACCTAGAATAACATCACTGTACAGTGATGTTATGATTCCTGTAAATGTATTTTTTAGGGTTAGGCAAATGATTATGTTTCCCTAAGAATTTAGTGTTGTTGGTTTTTGTTATATTAAATTTTATCGAATGTAACCAGTGATTCTCATTTACCGAACTTTCTAGAAGGTCTTCCTCAAGTAGTGACAGCACGAGCAAGATGAAAAATACGTCGCAAGCCAATAAAAAATCAACTCCAACACAGCACAACCCTCGCTACTTGTGGATTCGACTGGCTTTGTTCAACAAGCTCTTGGCAAAGATTGTGGATCATGTGGTAGAGAACAGTAGGTGAGAAGGTTGTTAAATACATTTGTCTAAGCACGGAAGTAAAGCATATACAGACAGAGTAACAGAACACACACTTTCAGTCTCTTACTTAAAATAAAGTATTGTTACGTCTCCGTTCGTTAGTTAATTTTCCGTAACTTCGTTCCGACGGAACTTTAGCGACACAAGTCCT